CTGAAAAGTACCAACACGTTAATTGCGTGAAAAGATATTTTACAGACTGGTCACGTTTCAATGGATTCACTGGCTTCGGTGTCTTCAATGAAAACTCCAGCACCTTCCGAAAACTTCAGGAACTTTGTTGATGATTGGGGATTGGGGATGATTTCCAACATGCCCGCAAACCATTAATTCACCTTCTCGAATAGTCTCAGTTCGATTGAGGCTATTCGGTCGATGAAACCATGTAGGCACTCATTTTATTTCCATTCAAAGGTAAGGGAGCAGATGAGTGTCCTGGTCGAAAGATCATATATGATTACCTTCGTATGCGTTCCCTCACATTGCACAATCCCAGGCAATGAAAAGGCGGACTCTCCCGCAGGAAGGCGAATATTATGACAGGCAAATTTCACACGATGAATTTTATCATTTAGTGCGTCAGAGTACTGGTTCAAGTTGGCAAACCGATTGGGACACTGGAAATCTGGGACGGTGGTTACATTCAATTATTCCTAATGATTCTTCGAGAGCGTGGTTTAAAGGCTTAGGCTTAAGTTGTGACTTCATTCGCGTGATGAGTAGACTTATGTCCAACCACTACTCGCTAGATGCACATCTCAATAGAATACACATCGTGGAAAGCAACATCTGTCGGTGTGGATGCGGTTACGATTACATCGATCACGCAGTTTGGCAATGTATGGATAATGACGCCGCCAGAGAGCGACTTTTGAATACCCTCGAGACCCAAGAAAGACAACCCTATATCCCTATCAGAGAAGTGTTGGGTATCCGCGATCTCTGCTATATGAAGTCGATTTATATTTATGTGTTACTGCAAATTTCTAGTATAAGAATTTAATTCGTTTGTCTTTTGTATCTCTTTATTAGTTTTTGTTTGTTTTGTCCCCCGTCTCGACGAGTCTCATCGTTCCCACTGGTCACCATAGCCGGTCGAACTCCAGACGAAGCTTGAACCACACTACAGTTCATACTGGCGACATCGCTCTAATGAGACAACGAAACCCTAACCCCAATCTCCTCCCCTTTTCCTATCCTTCGACAATGTACCCCTCTTACCTCGGGTAAGCCGTGAGTATTCGACCCAACTCCTTCTAGACATAGAATTCAGTGAATTTTGTTACAAACAAAGAACAATGAATCATCGGCTCCGTAAAGATAACGCGATTGAGCGTTACAAATAAACGAATTCGATAAAAATGGTGTTCTTGGCTGACTTTTGTGCCACCGGAGTGATTGCTTAGCATCGCTAGCTTTCTCCTCACCGTTTTCCTTTATCTCCATAGTCGTCAGATCCATTTCCACTGCTTCCTCTTCAAGCACCACACCTCATCTTCCATTACCTTGTGGTTATTGCCCAACGATGCATCTCCTGCCACCACACCATCGTACGTACCGCCACCGATAAGCTCTTTTTCCTGGTATTGTTTTACCTTTCCCGCCAGCTTTCGGACCATCCGCTTGGTGCAAAAATTCATTCGGTGCTCCTCAATCCCACATTAGAAACACTTGCCCTTGATCCCGTCGTAGAAAATGTACCTCTTCCGATTGAGTAAATAAAGCGTTGATGGAATTTCTTTCTCCACGTCCATATATATAAATACCTCGCACTTCTGTGCGCATGTCAAGACCCAGCTCAGCCAAAAATGTCTCCCGAATGACGCGCTTAATCTTTTCGTATTTATCCCGCACCAACGTTGGATCGCGATCCCGGACCTTTGGTGGAAAATCGTAAACCCGATCGTATTGAACGTTGCCCCCCGCAGGCGACATGCGTACCTCAACTACCTTTCCATCAGCAGAACTGAAAATGAATTGCTCCAGAAGAAGGACGCCCCTGTTAGAGCGAAGATCCGGACTCACTCCGGAATGTAATGTGGCCCAACGGCGCCGGTGGTGTAGTGGTAAGCGTGATTACCTCTCACCCCAGCAGGCCTGGGTTCAATCCCAGTCGGCGCCGCCGGGATGTTCTGAGGCATAACATCTCTGATCACGCCTTCCTTCGGATGGGAAGTAAAGCCGTTGGTCCCCGGTTCATGAGTTGATGGGTCGATAGGTAGGGTCCAGGTGTGGGAGCTGCCTTCCTGGCACGTCGGTAGCATTGGTGCTCAGCACGGAAAACAAGATCGACGGAAAAAACAAAACCAAAGGAAAAAAAAAATGTAATGTGGCCCTTCTAAGTATGGTAAGCAAATGATTCGAGAGTCCGACTTTTCTAAGCCCAAAATGCAAAGGGGTTCAGGACTGATACGAGATTTGTTTGTATGTATGTAAAGGATATCATTCATTGTTGCATGGGACAGTCTATAGACAGTGGAACGTCGTCCAAGTATGACTTGATCAAGTTCTACACCTGACTGTATTCAAAATAACACTGTATGAAGGGCCAAACACGGAGGGGCAAACCCGTAAGCAGACTTACGAGCAATCCGCGGGATCAGGAGAATCTGCTTCCAATCTAATCTAATCTAATCTTACACCAACACAGCCAGTTCATGAAAGCATCCTGGAAAATGATAGATATACCTCCATCCTTTTTCTTGTCTATTTGATGTATTTTGAACATCAGAGATGCGCAAAATATATCAAAACGGCCAGGCCTACTGTGCAGCATTTAAGGGGCAAGATGATTCAGAAACATTGGGCCTGTTAAAATCAAAGATTAAAACACGTGGACATCTCGTACCGTACGTTCCGCTGTATTGTTATTTATAAATGATTGGTCGTTGGAAGCATCTAATCTAAAAAAGTTAAGTGATGCTTATTTTTCCTCGATTGGTTGGGACATGAGCACTAACTCTTATCCTAGCTTATATGGCTTATGGTTATAGCGCCATTACTCGCTTTCTGAAAAGGGAAAAATTGAATAAAAGGCCGTAGGAGAAAGGAAATGGAGCAAGGAACCCTAGTTCTATCCCCCTTAAACTCCCTTGAGAAAAAGCAGGTCTCTAATCAATCTACAGAAGAAAAAAATCGCTAAAACTCACAATGGCCCTTATTACGGGTGTCACTTCACGGTGAAAACGAAGTGAAGTTACTAGTTGTCACTCACGGTGAAGTGATTGCCATGTAAATCAAATGGGAATCACTTCACTGTGAGTGACAAGTTGAAGTGACATCGATAATAAGGGCCAATGACTCGCGAACTTTCCTTTTGTGTGCTTCATAAAAGCTTGCAAAATTTTCCAACGCTGAACACGAACAGGTGACAACTAGATTTCAGTAGAGAGTAATAGAATGAAAATATAAAAACATGTAATTGAAAATAAAGGGAAGATCTCAGCCAGTTTCATATTTTTGTACTCTTACTGTTCTGCACTTCCAAGACTTTTCAAATTCTTCAGGCAAATCATGAGCACATGAACTTTCAGTTTTGTACCATCAAACGTCTAAAACCAGAAAAAAAGGCTAGAACGACTCTCTTGCCGAATGAATCAATTGGCAAATCTATGTTTGAACTTGGTCATACCCACTCGTTCCGACCTTTGACAATAGCGCGCTCGACATTTGATTTCTCATCAAAATGCAGCATGAAAGCGGCACTTCGAAATGATGTCTAAGACAAAGTTGTAGTAATCGAAACAAGGGAATATATAAACAGGAGCGAACTCACCAAATGAACGATGGTTAGTCCGTGAAGCAAAAACTTGGAAAACTAATGCATCTCCTAATTCTAGCTCAGCACATAAAACCATTCCATCGGATCTTCAAAGATCTTCATCGGGCTAGCTTGCCAATCAACTAAACAGCTATGACAAAAAGGATGCTGATAAAAAACTTTGAATTGCATTTCACCTGATCACTTGTACTTTCTTTGAACTAAAGTTCTTTTCTAGAACTGTGTTATCGAGTGGCACATTGTTTCGGGCTAAAATGCGATAAAAAAATCAATCACAGGAAAAATGAAGCCTAAATTTGACACTCGGACATTTTCCACGTCCTTACAGAAGCAGAGCACACTTCGATCGCCGGATCATGAGAATCTCCTTCCAATGATAAAATCCCACAACCCGATGTAGAACAGACAACATTGACAGGTGGTATAGTGGTAAGCGTTATTGCCTCTCACCCCAGCAGGCCTGGGTTCAATCCTAGTCGGCGCCGCCGGGATTTTATGAGGCATAAAATCTCTGATCACGGTGGAAGTAAAGCCGTTGGTCCCCGGTTCATAAGTTGATGGGTCGATAGGTAGGGTCCAGGTGTTGTGGGAGCTGCTTCCCTGGCGTCGGTAGCATTGATACTCAGTACGGAAACAAGATCGACGGAAACAAATCAAAGAAAAAAAAATCACGCATTCAATCTAAATGTAAACGAATAGACCATCCCTAGCAATCGATAAAAATGTAAACATTGCATGAAGCAAGTAGAAACAAAAATCGGTACCGCCAACTCCCCTCATCACTAAAACGATCACGGCTCTTACCTTCTCACATTTCCAACTTTCCGCAGAAACACCAAACTAGATGTGTAGGTAGTTGTTGATAGGGGAGAACAGTCTTTAATGCACCCCTGGAATAAAATGAACCAACGCGGTTTTTAGTTGCATCACCATTTCTTATTCCAGTTTAAGTTCAGATCTAGCAATGCTGCACGTTAAATTCCCATCATCAAAAGGGCAAAGCAACGAAAAACCACGTGGGACAATTTTTCCCCAGGAGTGCATTATGGACTGTTCTCCCCCTGCTTGGGTCGAGTGGGCCGAGAGTAGCAGCAGAGGCAAAGTGCATTTCACGTAGGAAAAAAAAAAACATATATGCACTCCCATCCCATGCGAAGACCAACCGGTTGCACTGCACTATCGCCAAAAACGAGCTTCAACCGACGTGACGAGAGAGGAAAACGAGCGCGAAAAGCTTCACCCCGGCAGCAACCCATCCTATCCAACCCATTGCACCACTTGTTGTGGTGGCTTCTTCGGGGGCTACTGGAAGAGATAGATTTTATAGTAAACATTTCTTTCTTTTAAATTCAGTATCGTTTTGGCCGTAACCGTGAACGGACGCGTTTCGGATACATGCACTACCATATCGCATTGTGTGTCTTTTGTTGCCGATAGCAGCCGAAGAAGCAGGCAGGAAGTTCTATTACTCATTCGCGGAAAAGTGAAGCACAGTGAGCCGAAGACAGAAGATTCTGGCAGGGGGTGAAGGTTCTTCCACCATACACAAGAGTTCAGTTCCGGATCGGAGTGGAAGAGAATCAGTTGGTGACCGTTGAAAATCGGATGAACTGTTCGAAGAGGGAAGAAGTGATCTGACAGAGTTCAAGTGTTCAGTTGTCTCCTGTTGTTGGAACATCATTCCTGGATAAGGGGATCACCCCCCCTCCCGCAAATTGGCGTTTCGGAACGAGCCCGGGATTACATCAAATTGGAATCAGCTGCAAGATAGTCTCGCCAGTCGCTTCACAAGGGAGAGAAGATGAGGAAGTGCTACGTAAGTGATTAGAGTTGATTTTACTTATTTCCATCACACTCAGCGTCTTGAGCATTACGAGATGCTCACGTTTTGAGGAGCAAGTGGAGAGAAGAAAATAGATAATCAATGTGGTTTCGTCTCTGCACGGTGGTACCGAGAACTATGGGCGGGTGATACTGAGTGTGTGTGCGGAGGAGGGGTGCGAAGATGCAGAGATAATGATTTATGGGTAGAGATTTGTTGTGATAAAATGCAGCTAATGAATGTTGGTGAAGAGGAGAGAGAGATTTGTTGAAGATGCTGAGAATGTTGTTTCGTTGAAGCTATGAGAGTGCATTCGGGTGATAGTTGTATGCATTTTAGGGCAGTGTTACCAAACTAATCTTTGGTTTACATCGATGAACTGACAAAATAAGTTTGTTTTATAAGTATGCTGGTGATGATTTTCGAACTATATGTTCATCATATCATTGATACGAGACCAATTTAAACGTTTCGCGATTATTAAAAATATAAATGAAGTCCAAAAACTGGCCAAGTCCTCAATATTTAATTACATTTTCAGTAACAATGGATAATTTCGTCTACTTTTATCGAAAAATATCAGAAAGGTTGTTTTGTCCTTGTGGTCAGAGTTATTCCGGTGGGTTCCTGAGTCAGGTCGGGTAAAAGAGTAGTAGCATGGAGGTAACTCTAAGACCAGAAGGTCCCGAAGAAATGAGCTCAACTTTTTGGCTCAGCTCTGGTACTATCTTCGGTCCCAAGGTAATCGATGCACCCCTCGAAACATATGAAAATCCACGAACCCCTCATTTTATCTGTCAAACTTTCATAGCGAATCAAAACAAACATAGTGTAGTTCTAGAATTTTGACTAGAATGGGGTGCGTTAATCGATTTGCTTGGGACCAATAGGCTAGTCAACTAGTGAGCCAATTTAAAATCGTTAGTTTCGTATTGATTGTTGGTAGTAGCCTGTTTCCTCATGAGGCCCGTTTATCGCTACGTTTAAGCTGAAACCCTATTAGAAATTGCTTGTCTACGTAATAAAACATTAGTTTTGTGATTCGCTGGGTCAGTTTTGGTCAAATGTGGCTACGGAGACCAATTTCAAGGAACTCTGAAGCTGGAGTTTAGATGATTTGTTCCACTAAATCAACCACGACTGGCCAATGTGTATAATATCTAAATATGCTCAAACAGATCCAAGGTGCTTATGTGCATCATGTAAGACTTATTGTCATGTACACCAGATGTTCTAGGTTCTTCAAACCATCCTGAAGCTTAAGTCAGATGATGAACTAGATCAGCTAAGAAAGGCAGAATGTCTGTAGTATCGAAAAATATCCAAGTTGATTCATGGGACCAATATACATAGTATGTTGTTGGTTCTCTAAATCTTCATGGAGTTCAGATTATTGGTTCTACTAGATCAACCGAGACTTGGACAAAGTATGTGGTATCGTAATATGCCCAAACAGATTCGTGGTATTTATGTGAATCATGCACGACCTATTTTTATGTATTCTAGATGTTCAAGGTTCTCCAAATCATCCTAGAACTTAAGTTAGATGTTGAACTAGATCAACCAATGACTGACACATTTAGTTACTAAATATACTGTTCCAGCCGACGTTGATCTAGTAGATCATTCAATATGAGCCTAGATCGTCTGCTATACATGAAAATAGGTCGTGCATGATCCACATAGACACTATGTATCTGTTTGGCATATTTAGATACTACAGACTTTGTCTCAGCTTGGGTTGATCTAGTAGAACAAATCATCTGAACTCCTGGACGATTTGAATAACCTAGATCAAAAAACTAAGTGTGTTTATCTCAAATGTGCTTTGAAGTTGCAAGTACTTTGAATATGTTCATAGCATTGAAATTGCCTCAGTAGCCCTGTAGAACCAATTCAAAAGTATTTAGAGCTACCCTTTGTGTTCAAAGGACTGTTCCAACATACCACAATTGTCTCAAGAGAACAAGTCCGATGATTTCTATAAATAATGCATTGTTCTCCGGTCCGTTTAAATTTCCCAAAATATTCCGGAATTTTATGTCATTTCTTGGGGAATTGATCCAAAGCTCTGTTCCCCAAACCCTGTGCAGATGTTTCATCAGAAGCTTAAAGTTTAAAAAAAAAACTGGATTTATGCACCTATGGTGAGATCAGAACCTGCTTACGTATTGATTTTATGCGTCGTCTCATGTGTTATGGCCCTTGAAACGTTGTAAACAGACGTTTAGTGTTGGTGTCGTAAATGAAAAATTAGTGTTGCTTCTCAGTATGATACTTGAGAAGACGTTTGCGGTGAAAGATATTACCCATTTGACTGAGGTTAGAGCTACATACATCTAATAAAAAACCAATCAGTTTTAATATGTATTTCTATTTTATGATCAAAAACATTGTCTTTATTTGAAATTTTTGCTCCACAGTGTTCAAACGGTTCCAAATTGGGCCCTGATTAGTCTCCCAATTTGAACTCATTTAGTGAGAAGCTGACTTGGCACAAACCATTTGAAGTTTATATGGGAACTACTATGAAGAAAATCTATCTCAAAGGTCACCAGTTCACTCTACTTTAGAAAATGATAGCTGAGCTTGTTGAAGATTTTCTCAGCTACAACTTTATTGAAGACAACTTTTCGATCAAATGTAAGGAACAAACATTATTAATGATTATGTTCAATCAACTGTTCAGCAGACAACATTGGTGTTTATGGCACGTAGAATAGAGGACAAAAATCATGGCTACTATGTCATACTGCAGAATACAGTGTTGCCCACCATACAGTTGCTCAATCTTGCCGAAAGATAATCAATCTATTAAACAATTAATAACTATTTAATTTGACTTTTGGCTGGAAAACGATTTTCTGAAAAGTTGTAGCTGATAAAAATTCCAGAAATATAATTTGTTAACAGTACAATATGTAAAAAGGCTAGAAGACAATGAACAAAAAGTTTTGTTTTCCTATAGTAATTTCCATATAAACTTCAAATCGTTTGTGCCAAGTCAGTTTCTTATAAAATGAGTTTAAACTTTCGGAGGCTAATCAGGACACGATTTGAAACCGTTTGAACACTGAGGAGCGCAAATTTCAAATTTTGCATCAGTCGAGTGTACATACAAATGTTTCGTAAATGGTGTTTATTGGTTTCATGAATCTAACGGGTGTTCAATAAAAAATGAGAATTTTTTCAATCATATAACTAGTAAAAAAATTTTTTTTTAAGCGTTCAGTATTTTTTCTTCAAACACAAACATCAATGAATATTGGAGAAGGGGCCCTGGTCAGCCGTACGACACAACTTAGTCACGATGCTCTCACAAAAGCGCTGGACGGCACTGAAATCATTCTCATTTTTTATTGAACACCCGTTACTTGAATATATTACAATACAGCTGACATTCTGCCAGCCTTTGTTGATCTGGTTCATCATCTGATTTCAGCTCCAGAAAGATTTGGAGATCCTACGTATTTGGGGGGTCTAAAATTGGTCAAAACCTGTCCACGTGGTATATGGACAGCCTTTAACCATGACATTAATTTTTACTACAAACAAACAAAAATCTTAGATCTTCCAATAGAGTGCAGCGTACAAGCAAGTTTTTCCAGAATGCATATTTTCGTAAGAAACCTTCACGAGATGGTTTTCTAGATGCAGTGCATTTGGGGCAACACTTTTTATTTCGAAAAATAAAATAAAATAAAAATAACATAAATATTACAAAATTATTTGAAAAACCTTCTGTACACGTGGTAAATTGCACATTCTGCATACTTTTCATGCAAATGTGAAATTTATTCTCAAATTTCCTGGTTGGATGTACGGTTCTATAACTTGACATCCAGCTGTGGAGAGATCAATCCCAAGCAACATTTTTTGTTTTATAGAAGTTTTATTGCAGTTGATAAAGCCAAATTATAAAAGTTTCACTGGCGATCACATTGTTTAAAAAAAACTTCTGATGGCCGCTATATAGCCATGTCATGGCCAATTGGTCCAGTTGTAATGCAACCATTAAAACTTGATATGTGAACCAGGGGCCTCATAGCCTAGTCAGTAAAGGCACGGTATTATCAAGCCGGAGGCGGCGGGTTCGAGGAAATCTTTTCGGGTTGGAAATTTTCTCGACTTCCCTGGGCATAGAGGCTTGCCACACAATATTAAAATTCATGCATTGGTATTGGCATCGAAAGCTCTCAATTAATAACTGTGGAAGTGCATTTAGAACACTAAGTTGAGAGCACGCAATAAGCTAATATGCGCTAAGCAATAAGCTTAAAATGCGAACAAGAAGAAGAAGAAGAAGAATGTAAACCAACTTAGGAGCATCGGTTTTATTTCAGTTATATCATATAATTCACGTGGTTGTAGAAAAGGCATGCTTTAAACTATCTCCTGGCCAGAAAGTTAATCCAACCTCTTGAAGACTACTATAAAACTATGTTAAAACTGCAGAAATCGCTCCTGAAAAAGTTGATAAAACTTTATATGCAAAACATTTTGATAACTTTGATGGTTTTAATTTGGATTTATTTGGTTGATGGGTTACATTGATAAAATTTTTGTTGTGATTTTATTCTTTTGATATTCGATATGTGAAATCATAATTAATGTCAAGGTGTAAAAAATATATTCTAGCATATTGAAATTTAATTACCAGTTTTTTTCACCTTGAATACGTTTGAGAATATTGAACGGCATTATAAATGGTGATTATCATACAAAATAGTAGCATAAATTCATTGCGCCTCATGAATATTAAAATATAGGAATATTTTTTATTTCGATTACATAAGCACCGTATTTAATCATTAAAATATATAATCCATTTATGAGAAAAAAACCTGTTCCTGCCGTTGAACAATGACCAGACAAATATTGTTGTATTGTAAATAGTTTGTTTTTGTTTTCCGAAGGAAGGCGACATCAGAGATGTTATGTCGCAGAAAATCCCGGTGGCGCCGACTGGGATTGAACTCAGGCCTGCTGGGATG